CAAAGTTTGACATTTTGAGCATCTGCTCCTTTCGCTTTCCTGCCAATGCTTCAACTAGACATCCGAATCAGCGAACTTAGCTTAGCACAAAGACTGGACACAGGTAGGCTGTAAGCGAAGGCGCGCATTTGCCGTAATGCCAAGTTTTTCCTTGAAGTTTGGCTCTGATGACACAAATGTGATGATGTAAATGGACCAAATGCTGTATCACCATACTGAAGGACGCATAGTCAGTGATTATTCTGCAATAATTCTTACATTTCGATGTGAACTCACGTGGTAGCGCTATAACATTGACGTTCTTTGATTCTCAGTTGCTCGTACTTCAGTGGGGATGTTTGTCAAATGAACTGAAGCTGAAATCCTGTATTTTTTTTTTTTTTGTTTTTTGGCAAACTTGCTTCTTAGAGCAGTTAGCTGATACCTAAGAGGGCATTCTTTCCGAATCACCCACACACTGTAACAGCGAAGAACATCCTCAAGGGTATTATGGCTTTTATACAACAGTGATCAGTGCATGTGCACCAGTGGATAACCAAGGATTGCTGATGGTTATTCGCACCTGCATTTGACAAAGTCTTTGTTGTGTAATTCTGAATCTGATGGGAATTTGGAGTTGTAAGCGACGGCAGTGTGATTTCAATAACATCAATATTCATGTGTTACTCAGTGTTTGAAAACTGTATTTACATTTGTGTATATGCCTGAGTATACTGCGACTCTGAAACAAACTGCAACTAATGCAATAATAGGGTGCAATGTGCAATTATTTATTCAGTTCTTTAGTTCGTAGCCTAGATCACAGGAGGGCTGTGTAGCTTGTTGAGAAAAGCTTTTTTTTTGAAGTTTGACCACTTTCCACGTGGCAGCAACAGCAGGAAAAGAGAAAAAAAAAGGACGACTAGACATTTTATTTTGGTTTTGGGTTGTTTTTTTTCCAGCTTTTGTTTGTGTGTATTGCAGTTTGGGGGGGGGAAAAGTGATAGAACTTTGTAACTATTTTCGATTGATTTATTTGCTATGTGCAGATCTATATTAGTTGTGAGTAATGACATAGGTTTTAATTTCAAAGTGTTGGTAAGTATAAGACAAATAAACTTTCAGTTTTGCTTTCTGTGACTGGTTTCTCTTCGCTGCTTCGCATTGTTCCCGCGCCACCCACGTGCACGCGCTAAAGCCTGGGGAGCCGAGGGGCCCACATCCTGCAAAAATCTGCCCCCAGCGGAGTTTTTGATGGCTAATGAATACAGCTAATTATCGTACGGCAAAGTGATTATGGTGATTTGATTAGATGATAAGATTTAAATGGAGGTCTCATCTTTTCTCTCCGCCATGAGACTTCAGCGGGACTAAAATTAAAATCAGATTGAAGGAGGCGATTAAATATTAGAAATGATACAATCAAACAGCGGCTGTATGCTTATTGTTTAGAGTGGAGGCTGTAAAACAAAGACAGGAGTTTGGGAATAACTAAAATGATTGCCATTAACTTTAATATATTCTTAATTTGGCCTGATTGGAGGAGCACACGTTCCTTTTTCTCCACCAGCTAAAGTACAAACAGATAATTCAATAATAGATAAATGATGGATGACGGCCCTCTGGATTCCTGGATCGCATCCCTCACTTTTATTCTTCCCATAAACCATCCAGTACTTTGGCACTTAAACCCAACGTAAAGTGAATTCCCCTGTCAGATAGCCAGCGCCACAAAATAAAATAACATATGGAGCTGTTATCTTCTGTCGTCTCCAAAATCAGCACATCTTGATGTGAACTGACCGACCGGCCTGCAAGCTGCTTTGCTCTCCTCCAGAACTGACATCTTGTGTTATCACATTATGCGGGTATGTAGGAATTTTACATGGATTAAGGCGAAGAAAAACAGATAAATCCAAAAGGCCAATTTCACTTTCTTTATCTCTGCTAATACCACTTCAGCCGAGCAGCTGCGGGTAGGTGAAAAGTTCACAAACAACGCAGCCGGACCACAGGAGTTACTTAGGGGGGGATAAGTTGGTCCGTGTGTGGATTAGAACTCAGGCTGAGAAGATCCTCAAGCACAGAAGAGTGGTCTCATTTCATGGTGTCGGGCAGAGCAGTGGCACCGTGTGTGATGGCCTAGAACCCAGCACGGGGCGATGCCAGGGAGCGGAGGTTTCATGCTGGCGGGACGGGGAGCCCTGTGGTTTTTTTGGAGGGGGCGAGGCAGAGAGGAGTTCAGGGACTCAGAGGTGGATCAGGACTTTTTCTGGTGAGAGCAAAGAAGCTGTCTGAGATGTTAATAGGCAGGCAGGTTATAATTATTGGCCGAGGTCCAGCGCAGAGCTCTGCAGGCAGCCGGCAGTGTGGAAGCAGCTCCTGCCACTCAACAGCCAGGACTATATACTCATAGGATTTCATTTATTAAGCATCTCTGCACTAAAGGCAGCAGCTAAAGAATCAGATCTCTCACTAAATCCTCTGCACTCCTTAATATAGAAGCAAAGACGTCTGCTGAATCAGTTAATGATAATAAAAAAAAAAAGTTTTATGTTAAGGCACTGCTTTTAATTATTCCATCCAAGTCATGGATTTCCTGCCCTGTTCCGACAGTAAACGCAAAGCCTCGGCTGCTGCTGTTGATAACAAGAGTCAGTCAAGGTGCGAATCAGAGTTCAGAAACAAATCCTGACGACACAGTGGAGAAATACAACGGATCTGAGGAAGAGAAGAGGATATGACACAGTCAGCCAGTGGCCAATCAAGTGGCAAAAATGATTCTTCACCCACAGAAGCACTTTGCCCTCAGGTCTCCACAGTTGACAGGACGGCTCAAACTCAAAGGTCAAGTATTACTCTTTTTTTTCTGAACATTACTTCAGCTGTGACAGTTTTGTGTTTGTTTTGTTTTGTTTTGTTCCACTGGGCTGAGAGAAGTTTCCTTTATTTGTCTGTGCAACATTTACAATGGAGCAAGGGAGATAAGAATCTTGGGCATGTCCCAGTTTGCGACAAAGCCAGATGTTCAATGAAAAGCTCGGCGTTCATTTGTTTTTCTGTTCTAAAAGGCTTGACCTTTAACAAGAAGGATGTCGGTGAATCTAAAGCGGCCTGTGCTCTGTGTATTAGACCGTTCTCTCCTCTATCAATTTACCTTCCATAACAGTTCGATAGGGGTTTGTCTGACTGGACGTGAGGCACAGAGGCAGGCTCTGCCCCTGTGCTGGCATGGCATGACAGTTGGACTGGGTCCATGCTATCACTCAGCATTGCTGTAACCTGCTTACAGACAACCTTCTCTATAATGCAAAGGAGTGATGTCACAGCAGCGAGCAATGAGACGACGTGCAAATCTAAAAGTTGCTGCAAGTCTCCAGGGTGCGCACGGAGCCTGATGAGCGTCCTGCCCGCAGGGATGCTGGACTTCTGGATGTGGGGGTCTCGGTGCCACTGTGTCCTCGCTCGTTAGAGGTGAGGGGGGGCGATTGCAGAGCAGAGAGGGAACAAAATCCAATGTCAAATAGGCTCTGCAGCAGGAAAGCATCATCAAATGTAGTGAGCGTGGCTTCAGAGAGGTCAATATACTGTGGGGCAGCACTTTGCTGCTTTCACGGAGCAGCTGCACAGTGTCATCTGCAGCAAAGCAGAGCCGGTCTGGAGGCACAGAGGGAGCAGGACCACGATGAAATAGTGGTGGATTCATCATCTTATATGACAAATATGTCTCGTGAGTGTGTGTTAGGGCTAAATCACTCAGACTGTAACTATAAGCCGACAAAGCCTCCCCCCGAACTGGCTCGGCTCCATATCATTGTGATCCTGGGGAGGGATTTATCCAAGATGGGTTACCAGGCAGGGATGGTGCCAGGAGTCGGACACGATGAGTAAGGATGTTAGACAAACGCCTTGGCAGGTGCCACGTAGCTTAAACAGTGGAGAATGTGAAGCAGATCTATCATCCTGGAGCACAGGTAAAAATACAAACACTGCTGTCAGTGATGTGCGTGCGTCGCGATTTTGGATATTGCCACGGTAAAGCAAACTCCTGCAGGAGAAAATGCTTGACTAGTCAATAAAATCAATGAATCTGCCTTTCAGCGAAATTGACAGGGCTGAACTCTGCACACGGCGGCGGCCATTTAATCACACAGAGGCTTTGGGGGGAAAGAAAAACAACAACAACAAAGTGCTGGCTGCGTTCAGGTGCTGTCTGCACATCGCAGTGACACAGCTGGGTGGAACTTCAAAGCTCCTTTGTCACCGCGAGCGTGGCCGGCTCCATATTGAAGTCCTCCATCAGGGGCAGGACAGTTGTAATCAATGTTTATGAGGGAGGACAGCGCGCGACACAAAGGGCAAACAATCAGACAGAGGATGAGCAGAATGCAGGTGACTGGAATGAGCTCCAGGGACCTTCAGGTGGCCTGAGAGGAGCTCAGGTGAAAACACTGACGACTCCGTAATTCAATTTGAATGATGGACGGCCCTCTGATTATATGACTCAGGAGATTCAGATTTCTTACCTGTGCAAAGGTGGATGACAGAAACATGCAGAGGAGAGGTCCTAAAAGAAAAAAAAAATAATTTAAGTTTCAGATGTCATTCGGAGCAAGTGAGCGTGAAATTCAAATTTGATACACCAGTGCGTACGGTGGAATGAGCAAAGTGCTGATAGTAACGGAGCACAATGCAGCGGATATTCATTTTCAGTCCAATCAAATATTTCCGGCTCATTATTTGGAAAGAAATGATGTCACGGCACGTTCAGGGGACTCAGACAGGTTCTCTCGTATTTCGGCAGCATAAAACAAAAACTGGACAAAATATAACGTCGAAAAACATCTGTTTATGTGCACAGATGTGCATGCACTTGCACAACGTTTTGCACGTTACATTTTGGCTTGATGCAAAGATAAGCCAACCAGCTGCAGCTTTAAATTTAGAACAGGCACGAGACCAGCAGACAGATAGATAGATAAATAGCTGGAGACTAAATAAGGCTACTTTAGGGGAAGGCCAGATTCTCATAAGACTTGAACTCACGACCTTGGTCTCCACAAACCAGGCCCTAACAGACTGAGCCACAGGACCAGTCTGACCTCAGGTGTGTCTCTGAGTGTCCTGAAGTCATTCATGTGGATGTTGCACTTCAAAATGGACTGAGACAGTAAAGAATCGAACCCACGACCTCTGACACGCCAACCACTCCTCTAATACACTGAGCCACTGGGTGGGACACTTGGTGGCTCCTGAGTTCGAGTCTTACGAGGTGAACTGAATTTTAAAGTTCAGCATCCAAAGTCAACGCTCAAAGGCTCCCACAGTGAGGCTTTGAGCAGCAGGGCTGGTGGCGCAGTGTGTTAGCGTGCCGTCAGGTGTTCTGAGGTCAAGGGTTCGAATCTTATGGGTGTGGGTGCAGTTTTGGAGCCCAGTGTTCAAAGTGAAGAGTTAAGAGGGCAACGAGAAGAGCTGCAAGTGTGAAGCACGTCAGTGGCGTAAGTGGCTTCACTCACGGCTGGAGAGCCGTGCCAGTCAGGAGGCTGGTTCGAATCCCACTACGGCTGGCGTGTGGATCAGTAGATAGGCCCAGTAGATAGGCCCACCTCCGCTGGAGGAGGTGGGGTTGGGGGGGGGTCTCCCCCCGGCCCTCCGGGGAGCTGAAGGTAGGGGGTTATGGAGGAGAAGACCAGAGCAAAGTAGAGTTTTGATACAGAACTTAAAAAATTCATCTAAAATAAGTAATTAATAATAAGCCTAATTATTAATAATAACATAAAACTAATGATTAATAATGATATAAAATTAATTAACAATAATAATTTAATAATAAAACTAATTATAATAACAATATAAAACTAATTATTATTAATAATAATATTAATAATAAAACTAATTATTAATAATAATATAAAACTATTATTATTAATATTAATAATAAAAATAATTAATAATAATAATATTAATAATAAAACTAATTATTATTAATAATAATATTAATAATAAAACTAATTATTAATAATAATAATATTAATATTAATAATAAAACGAATTATTATTAATAATAATAATAATAACACTAATTATTAATAATAACATAAAACTAATTATTATTAATAATAACATTAACAATAAAAATAATTATTAATAATAAGATAAAAGTAATTATTAACAATAATAATAATATTCATATAAAACCAATTATTAATTATTGTTATTATTATTATTGTTGATCATAATAATAAGATAAAACTAATTTAGTTTATTAATTAACAATGTAACAAAATAAAGATTATATTATTACATATGCAGTGTGATATTATATAATTATTACATTATAATTATTATAGGTATATATAATATAGATTATATAAATATTATACTAATATTTTACTACATAATTTATTTTAATGAAATTATATAATATATCAGTATAATAATGATAACTTGCAGCTCTTCTCGTCTGCACCAACACCCATCAGATTTGAACCGTTGACCTCAGGAACACCTGATGGCACGCCAACGCACTGCGCCACCAGCCCTGCTGCTCCAAGCCTCACTGTGGGAGCCTTTGAGCGTTGACTTTGGCTGCTGAACTTTAAAACTCAGCTCATCACGTAAGATTCAAACTCATGACCTTGGACTCCACAGACCAGGTCCTAACAGACTGAGCCACAGGACCAGTCTGACCTCAGGTGTGTCTCTGAGTGTCCTGAAGTCATTCATGTGGATGTTGCACTTCAAAATGGACTGAGACAGTAAAGAATCAAACCCACGACCTCTGAGACGCCAACCACTCGTCTAACACACTGAGCCACTGGGTGGGACACTTGGTGGCTCCTGAGTTCGAGTCTTACGAGGTGAACTGAGTTTTAAAGTTCAGCATCCAAAGTCAACGCTCAAAGGCTCCCACAGTGAGGCTTGGAGCAGCAGGGCTGGTGGCGCAGTGCGTTAGCGTGGTGTCAGGTGTTCTTGAGGTCAAGGGTTCGAATCTTATGGGTGTGGGTGCAGTTTTGGAGCTTGGTGTTCAAAGTGAAGAGTTAAGAGGGCGACGAGAAGAGCTGCAAGTGTGAAGCACGTCAGTGGCGTAAGTGGCTTCACTCACGGCTGGAGAGCCGTGCCAGTCAGGAGGCTGGTTCGAATCCCACTACGGCTGGCGTGTGGATCAGTAGATAGGCCCAGTAGATAGGCCCACCTCCGCTGGAGGAGGTGGGGTTGGGGGGGGTCTCCCCCCGGCCCTCCGGGGAGCTGAAGGTAGGGGGTTATGGAGGAGAAGACCAGAGCAAAGTAGAGTTTTGATACAGAACTTAAAAAATTCATCTAAAATAAGTAATTAATAATAAAACTAATTATTAACAATAAGATAAAACTAATGATTAATAATGATATAAAATTAATTAATAATAATAAGTTTAATAATAAATCTAATTATTCATAATAATATAAAATTAATTATTATTAATAATAATATTAATAATAAAAATAATTATTAATAATAAGATAAAACTAATTATTAATAATAAGATAAAACTAATTAATAATAATAAGATAAAACTAATTAATAATAATAATAATAATAAGATAAAACTAATTTAGTTTATTAATCAACAATGTAACAAAATAAAGATTATATTATTACATATGCAGTGTGATATTATATAATTATTATAGGTATACATAATATAGATTATATAATCCCACTACGGCTGGCGTGTGGATCAGTAGATAGGCCCACCTCCGCTGGAGGAGGTGGGGTTGACTGAGCCACTGGACCAGTCTGACCTCAGGTGTGTCTCTGAGTGTCCTGAAGTCATTCATGTGGATGTTGCACTTCAAAATGGACTGAGACAGTAAAGAATCAAACCCACGACCTCTGAGACGCCAACCACTGGTCTAACACACTGAGCCACTGGGTGGGACACTTGGTGGCTCAGTGTCAGAGCCTTTGACTTTTCTCTTTGGCCGCCGAACTCCAAAATTCACAGTGTCACATAAGATTCGAACTCATGACCTTAGACTCCACAAACCACCTCCTAACAGACTGAGCCACAGGTCCAGACACTGCAAGTGTTTCTCTGAGCGTTCGAGTCTGAGTTTGTCTGGATGCTGGACACCCACAACCTCTGAGACACCAACCACTCTGTACATACACTGAAAATAGGACGTACTATTAGATTTTATATATAAACACTTTGACCAGTGGGGGGAAGTTAAAGTCTACTCAAATATATTGGAAACTGACAGTAGAAGAACATTGCAAGAAATAGACACTCAATCATAATAGACAGACAGATAGACAGATAGATAGATAGATAGATAGATAGATAGATAGTCAGATAACTCAAGTCAGTATTCAAAGCTACAATGTCATTATAACACAGGTGGGACAAATAATTAATAATCGATTGGCTGCACTTACAGACTGAATAACAATGTGTGGAAAAGTTTGAGGATCTGACGGTGGGGGGGTGGAGGGGTGGAGGGGTGGGCTCTGCTCTGCTCTGCTCTCTGGGCTCAGTACTCTCCACTCGCAGCTCTGGCTGGGCGCTCAGTGCTCCGGGACCTTGCGCACATCCACATCCACCTCCACGCACAGGCACGCACGCAAACGCGCGCGCACAGCGCTGCTGCTGCTGCTGCTGCTGCTGCACCGACAGCGGGTTGCAAACTGGCAGCAAAGTGTCGAACCCGACTCCCGGACGTCTCATCCTCTCCACCTGGCTGCTAGAAGGGGGCGCGCGTTTAATCCGCAAAGGAATGGAGCGATGTTGCTTCGCCGCCGATGCCAGTGTCTGACAAATGGATCTCCCCCCGGAGACTGCACGGTCATCTGAGTGACGCTACCAGGTCGGTGCCGACTCAGACAACAATCCAAACTCACTCTTGATTATCATGCGCGTTGGTGACAGCAGGAGGGAGCTGAGCCGCTCCTGCACGTCCACTGTACAGACGTGGATACGTGACTGAGATCAGATTCATCCAGCTTCCAACATCAGGCACCGGTTCATGTCCAAGTTGATTTCTTTCTCTATCTGTGGCTGTTCATTTCAAGATGAGTTTGTCACTTGATTTACACTAAGATATGTTTTATATCTTGTAAATATTGATCAGGGAACTTGATCTCATTTTAAATTGCAGCTATTCATTTGCTATGTGTGTTGCAGAGCTACATCTCTAATGGTCTTCTATTCTCCAACCAGCTGTGCAAAACGCATCAATGTTCAATTTATCATCAGAGAAATCTGCAAATAATCATATTTAGATTCATATCTGTTAAGAATGTGTTCTGTATTCCAAATTATATATCCACAATCAAAGTAGGTGCCTTGTTCCCTAACATCCTGATTCCTCCATATATTCTCACAAATGGACAGGGGTCTTAATGTTCCTGCACAGGTTTCATTTATCTGAGACATTCAGTTTATCAATATTAATATCATCCTGGGGCTCATGGAGAAATCAGAAACTTGTTTGACATTCATCATCCTGCTCAGAAAGCTGCTTATCAATCTGTCATCTGCAGCCAGTTGCACATCAGGTAGTCATTTTTAATGAGCACTGTGCCCTTCACATACATCACTGTTCATCCCATAGATTTTTTTGTTGTTGTTGTTTTGTCACAAATCAGTGTTTTCAAAGTTCATCTGCTGCATTTTGATGAACCCACACCTGGCTTCTTGTTTCCCTCACAGGGACGAGGAGCCCCGCGCTAAAGAAACATGCTATTATTATGATAATGTTGAACTTTACTGGCTTCCCCTCCGAGGAGGAGGAGGGAGTGCGAGGAGAGGAAGCGGTGAAGAAATGTGATTGAATAGAGTCTTGTTAAAGGACGGGAGCAGAAATGTAACAACCTCAAATTTCATCCAAAGCATCAGGAGGAGTTAGGAGAGTTGTCGAATCCACATCGTATCAGGATTTCAGCAGAACAGAACCAATCTGAGGCGGCAGAATACTGTTTTATTATCTCACCTCTCCTCTTTTATATCTCACACAGGTTCCAAGTAGAAGTTTCCTCCAGTCCTGGATATGTGATCATGACTGCGCTCAAACTTTTTCATTCCCCTCAACTGTGCTGCACTTGTGCAGGTGCA